TGTCATTGACAGTCTTCGTAGCATTTCGAAAACTGCATATGTTGTCATTTGCATTAGCCCCTCCTCTTCAAAAGCTCCACATGCTGCTTCTTGCCAACTTCTCGCAATATTCGTAACCTTCCAAGAGCCGCAACCCAAGACCAGCGGACCAAGAGACCAGAGGACCAGGGGACCAGGGGACCAGAGGACCAGGGGACCAGGGACCAGAGGACCAGGGGACCAGAGGACCAGGGACCAGAGGACCAGGGGACCAGAGGAAGGGGACCAGAGCACCAGAGCAGGGTTTACGGGACCAAAGGACCACGGGACCAGGGGCCCAGCCCTAACTCCAGAGCCCAAGCCGAGCCAACCCTAGGAACAAAAAACCTGGGACCCCATAAAACCCTAAACCCATAAACACCTAAACCCTAAACCCCTAAACCCTAAACCCCAACCTCCAGCTCTGCGACCCCAGTAAAAAACCATAAAATAATCAAAAGGTCCTAGTTTGGGATGCGGGGGTCCCACCAAAGCCCAGGTTTAGGGTTTAGGGTGTAGAGGTCAATTTCCAAACCCTAATCCGCATTGCCCCTATCCAACTGCATTTTCCATGTCATGTTACATGTTCTTTTCCTTCAGATTTCTCCTACATAGGGCAATGCCCCTAAATACCCTAACCCCTATATGGCCACATATCATATAGGCCTATAGAAATATCTTTCTGCATGACCTATAATCAATATTTCCCGTGTAACTAATGGACATGGGCTCCTACAGGGATTGAAGTATGAACGCAAAAAACTACCAAAGGGACCCCTCTGTCAACCCTTAATGGCCCCTTGGTAACCCTAATATTGACTCTATGCCCTAAAGCCTAAACGCCAAACCCTAAACCCTACTAAAATGCGTATCTCCCCTATATCCGATCTCTTTCGGACCTCCTCGGGTCCTGCCTGGGGCCTTAAACAATCCTTTAAAGACGATATGGGGACATGTAAGGCTGTATAGGAACATATTGGGATATATGCGAACCTATCTATATACAGGGTTAGGGTTCTATAAGGATATGTGCGATAAAAGGACATTAGAGCTATAATGGAGAGAAGTGGAAAATCAAGTGGAAACCAGGAATTATGTTGTCATGGGCTCCCCTATTGATCCCCACACTACCCCCCTAGTTTCCCCCTTAGTTGACTTTAATTCACCCTAAAAAGCATGTTTCCATTGTTAGGGAAATGCATGATACGGGGGTTGCAGGGATTTGGGTTTGGATAGTTGCAAGAGGGGTGCCTGCTAAAGGGTTGGGGTTCAGGGTAGCTTGCGATCTCCCATGTTATTGAAATGCCTCGTCAGTTTTTGGGGGGAAGGAAAACACGGCATAGCCCACCAGGCACAGAGACCGCAACCCTGAACCCTATCACTTGACTCCATTCGCCAGACTGCTCTCCTGCTCGAACTGGATCATCCAAATATCTCTGCCTGAGGACTTAGGGTTTAGGCTTTAGGAAGGCCTCTTGGTCATAGATTATCAGATGTTCCTGTGATGACTCGGGTACTACATACCCCCCACCCCTGAATGTAAAAGAGGTCAGCCGATTAGGGTTTAGGCTTCAGGGTTTAGGGTTTAGGCCACTGCATGGGGTCTCTTCTTGGGACATCTTGAAAGGATTCATTGCATGTCTAGAAGCTTCAACCTGGCAACAACTGTGGCGGCTTTCTACAGAGGCTTGGCTTGTATGGCTTTTGGATCTGCTTACCAGGCTCCTTCATATTCAGAACAATGGCTTTGGTTCTTCGTTACTGTTAGATGCGGCAATCCAAGACAACCTCAAGTACCCCCAATCCGGGCAATCGTGGTAATCCCTGAACCCTAAACCCTGAACCCTAAACCCTAAACCCAATGTATGTACCGTACGTGTCGGCTCTAAAGTCTAAAGATACTAAACCGTGACGGCTGAGGTCAAGGGCTTAGGGTGTAGCTGGAACATGAAAACAGGATGAGTCTTACAACTCTTCCCTCTTCTTAGGCCTTGGATAGGGCTTAAGGTTTAGGGTTTGAGGCTTAGGGGTTCATAGTAGGATTTCTGTGAGGGTTCTGTAAGGATATATTGGGATATAAGGTGGGCTTCCCCAAAATTAGGGGGTACCATTTTGAGAGTCCCCATAATAAGGGTTATAGTATATTGTAGTCCATATTGGGGTCGCCTTATGTAGGGTAACTAACACATATGTAGGATGCTGATTTCACCAACTCTCTGGCTCCCTGCTTCAGGGGTGTACATACCTAAAACTCAGGAGAGCTTGCTAATTGTGAGGTTTAGGGTTTAGGGTTTAGGGCTCAGGGTTTTAGGGGGTAAGGCTTAGGGATAGAGACCTGGAGTGATTTAAAGGCGTGCTGTAGGGAGCCCAAGTACTTCGACTAGGGACATAGGCTGAGGCTATATTCTACTTCAAGAATCCACAAGAGTTGCCAAGGTATGGTATTGTCTCCAATTCAGGAGTCTACATTACTAGGGATTTACGAGCCCCACTTACGTGAAAGTTGAATCTTATGGGCTATATGAGGCTATGTACAAGTTCTGGTCCATGATAACTGAAAATTATTCCCAAACCCTAAACCCTAAGCCCTAAACCAGGACTACCCCAGATTATGGCTTTGGAACAGCATGCTAAGCCTTTGCGGGCGCTGGGCACCCTTCCGCTGGGCTGAAGACGGGAAAGTTTCCCATGGAATATATAAGCATTAAAAATGCATTCAGTTCCTGATTCCTCAAGCTCCTACACCGCACATGTTCAAGTCCTGGCACCTAACCCGCTGGAACCTCAACCCTAACCCCTAAAACCTAAACCTAAACCTAAACCCTTCAAACGAAGCCGTTTTGCCAACTGTACATGCTGAGCCTTATCAAACGTCAGCGCTCATGCCTTAACTCTACATGGTGAGTAGGGTTTAGGATTTATGGTTTAGGGTTTAAGGTTCAAGGTTTAAGATTTAGGGTTCAAGGTTTGGGCTTGTTCACTCGATATCCTTGCAACCACAAACTGCGGAACCCCAAAAACCCAAGACTCCTCATCGAAGCCTGCAACCCTAAACTCTGAAGCCCTGCGCTAAACGCTAAACCCTGAGCACTATAGACCCTTGCCCCTGAACCCTGAAACCTACCCGCCGAAGCCTAGACCCATGTATACATAGATAGATAGATAGATAGATAAATAGATATGTATATACATATATATATATGTATATATATATATATGCTGTCATATCCCTCTACATCCCTATAACTACAACCCGTTGAGATCCTAAACCCCAAACCTGAAACCCAAAACCTCAACCCTATAACTAGAACCCATTTAGGGCCCAGTAAACTCCAGACCCGGCAACCCGCCTGGCACATCTGCTTTTGTCGCTAGTTCCTGCGGCACGCAGATGGCAACGCAGAATTCCGAGTTGCCCTTCGCAGCCTCAGGGTTTAGGGCTTAGGGGATTATAGGGGTTATGTAGGGATAATGGAAAAGAAAATGGAAACTATTATATTATAGGGTGATATAGGGTTTAGGGTTTAGGGCTCAGCGTTTAGGGTTTGGGATTTAGGTCTGGGTACTTCTAACGCTTAGGGTGTAGTGTTTAGGGACTTAGTAACTAGGTAACTCTGTTCATTCATTGGCCTATAGGGTTATAAGGCCCTCCCCGCAGGGTTGGCGGCTATAGGGGTGCACATAGGAGTATAGGAGGACATAGAGACATGGATAAAGTGTAAACGTGATCCATACGACTCTACAACAAAGAAACAAGAGCTTAGGTTTACGTTGAGAATTGAGGTTTTTGGTCTAGCGTCTACGGCTACACAATGAAGAGTTCAGGGTTTAGGCTCATTGTTTGGAGAGTTCGGAGCTTCAGGTTAAATTTCAGCGGGTGTTTTCTAGGAGCCGGTAGGAAAAAGCAATAGATGAAAGCGATATACAATCCTAAGCCCTAAAGCCTAAATCCTAGGGTAGTAGTCGGTATCTGGTCCCAGGCTCTCCCAAAGTGGGGCAGCGCTCCATGCAGACCCCAGTGCTGGAGCAGAAGGGGGTTCCGGGTTACTTGAGTGGAGGGTGGGGTTGGAGGAGTAAGCCGTTCAATCAGGATCTAGGGTCTAGGGCTTAAGTTTGGGCATCAAGATTGAGTTTAGTGGCTTAGAATTCTGCATATATGGGCATTTGGCAAACTAGGAATGCGTCCTAGACCTAGACCCCGACATCGACTTGGGACACCCAGAAAATGTCCCACACGAAACTCCCTCATCTTTCATTACACAAGAACAATCCTTGCCCCCTAAACCCTAAAGCCTAGACCCTAAAAGCCCACCAGAAAGGATGGTTTGGGCTTAGGATTTAAGGCGCAGGGTTTTGCCTGTGAGAGGGAATCCTTCGTCTAAACCCTAAACCCTAAATCCTACACCCTAAAGCCTAAATCCTAAATCCTAAACCCTAAACCCTGAACCCTAAATCCTAATCCCTAAATCCTAAACCCTAAACCCTAAACCCTAAACCTTTCATCCTAAATCCTAAGCCCTAAACCCTAACCCCTAAATAGTGTTCGTGAATGGACGGTCTTCTCTGCTTTCGCAAGCCCTGGAGACCCAAGCCTTTTGAAAGTTGGGGGGCCCTATGACACCTAAAAATCCCGTTCAGGGTCTAGGGCCCTTATAGCGTGCTATACAATACTTAGGTCCACTCCCCGGTGAGCGGCACCTAAACCTTAAACTCCAATGAATCGCAAAGTTTCCATCTCCTCTTCCATTCCCTATATACCCCAAACCCCAAACGGTTTAAGCACCAGTAGGCCCTAAACCCTAAACTCTACATAGTCTTAAGTAAGTAGATAGAATATGGGCTATATGGGGATCTTATTATGGTATGCCCAAAGCCATATTCCATCTACCTGACACTATGCTATCATTGCATTCTAAACCTTAAGCCCTAAACCCTACAGAAGAGGTGGCTGTGGGGCCTGCGTTTCTTTTTTTAAGGTATTTTCGATGTTTCGTAAGGCTTTCATGGATCCTGTCTCTTGGAATATGTATATATATATATACACACATGTGTATATAGATAGATAGATAGATAGATAGACATCGATAGACATGAAAATATATGCTTCCAAAAACCCAGGCCCCACAGCCACTTGCTCTCAAACCCTAAACCCCCTAAATCCTAAACCCTAAACCCTTAAACCCTTAAACCCTTAAACCCTTAAACCCTCCCTTAAACCCTAAACCCTTAAACCCTAAACCCTAAACCCCCTCAATCCTACATATCTATATCGCAAAGCCGCCTCGGGGTCCTTCGCCCCAAAGTTATTTGCAATGTCAGCTAAGGAGGCGAAGTCTGCCGGCTCCTTCACCAGAAGTACTTCGGGACCATGAACTCTAAACCCTAACAGGGCTCGGATTCAGGGTTCGGGGTTAGGCTTTAGGGCTTGCGGAACCCTAAACCCTACAGGGGCTAGGATTTAGGCTTTAGGTTATACAGGCCCTGTACAGGGATATATGGGGGCTATATAAGGATAATGGAAAAGAAAATGGAAGCTACTAGTTAGAGTTTAGGATTTAGTGTTTAGGCTCTAGGGTTTGCTGTTGAGACTGAACGTGTTCGGGGGTTGCCGCGAAAGGCATGCGTTCAGATAAGCTTCTTCACAGAAGTTGTCAAAAAATGTTGTCCAGCTAGCCTATACATTATTGTATGCCGTGTGATCATATGAACCTCAGTCGTGGACGATAATTTTGCCGATCTGCCATATGAGGGTTTGGGATGTGGGGCTTGATGATCAGTAGACATATCACGTCCGGCTTGCGGGGCCTCGGTTTTTGAGGAACCTGCGAGGGTTTAAGGGCGAGTGGATCTTTGTAACTTCTTATGGAATCCCATATGAGCTAAAGTCTAAACTGCTAGTATCTTCAATAGTAACCCCTATAAATGCTCCCCTATAGAATCTCCAATACAATATGCATTAAGGAGCTTAGACTATAGCTCATATTGCCTTTATGCTCAATCCGCGACTCCCCATCGGTCACCAGTAAGGCAAGGGAGGCTTTGCGCTGTTTATCAAAGTTCTCATGGAAGGCTTACACCGCAGTTGCTGTGAAGGGTTATCATCATTTTACCATAAGGGCCTAAATCCTAAAAATGTACCAGTATCATGCTAAGGTCTGTTTCAGGTCCCCTTCAACATAAATATTTCAAGGAATCCAGGACAATGATGTTCGCACTCATTCAGGCTTCTATTACCTGTTGGGTATATTGGGTTTGTATAGGGGATATACTAGGAGTATATTGGGATAATGGAAAATAAAGTCCCTAAACCCAATCTGCTAGTGGCATTCAGGGCCTACGGCTTTGCGCGCGCACCTATCTAGGATCGCAGGGTCAGGATATGACCTACAGATATCCCCCTCAAGAATCCGCTGAAGCAGAGTAACGTGTCATAGTTCCACAGTAGAAGTAAACCCTAAACCCTGAACCTTAATGCAACAGCAAAGGGCTTTAGAGTTGAGGTTTGAGGGCTTTGGGGTTCCAGAAATACATGACTCATGAGCCCAGTTCAAGTATCAAGTATCATGCAGTTCCCCTAAGAAAGAACACCCAATCACCTGATAATAAATGTAACCCTTTACAACCTAGAAATGGGGCTAGTACTTATCATGGGGATGCTGGGGGCCAACTTATCATTAGGGGGGAAGATTAATCTAGAACTTAGAATTTGCGCGCAAGACGCTGAATCCTGATTTTGGAGACATATCAGAGGAATAGGGCACCAATTTGGTTTTGGATTGGGGTTGACAGAAGTCTGAACAGCCACATGGAGGCTTTTGAAAGGGAGCTCTGCCTGTTTCTTAGCAAACCCTATAAATCCGTATGAACCCCAGGTTTTCATATCACTTTCCACGTTCTTTTCCATCATTGGGGTGATATCCCAAAACCCTACATGTCTACAGGTTCAGAGCTTAGGTTTCCTAGTGATGGCCCTGCTTCAGAAGCAATGTGAATATACATGAGTTAGGAATTCAAGTTGAGGGTTCATACCTTGGGCTTTGCCCTGCCCCAGGGGTCTACGTACCAAAGAAACAGCCTATATCCACGCTTTTAATGGCCCCTTGATAATTTTTAAGACTGACAGAAGCTCATATGATACTCGCGAATTATCCTAAATCCGAAACATCCCTAAACCCCCAACCCTACTAATTGCCTACACAAACCCTGCCACCCTAAACCCTAAACCCCAAACCCTATTATCCCAAAGCCTAAACCTCAAACCCTACTATCCTAAACCCAGAACCCTAATCCCCAAACCCTACTATCCTAAACCCTGAACCCTAATCCCCAAACCCTACTATCCTAAACCCAGAACCCTAATCCCCAAACCCTACTATCCTAAACCCTGAACCCTAATCCCCAAACCCTAACATCCTAAACAACCCTAAAGCCCAGACCCTACTGGTTGCCCCGCCTTCTCCGTGGCTGGGAGGATGGGCGGACAGGCTCCCTCCAGCATGTGCTTCACGCCCTCCTTCCATCAAATGGGGGGTCTAAATAAGGGTTTAGGGGTTTAGGGTTGAAGGGTTTAGGGTTTTAGGGGCTTAGGGTTTAGGGGTTTAGTGGTTAAGGGTTTAGGGGTTTAGGGTTTAGGGGTTTAGGGTTTAGGGGTTTGGGGTTTCAGGATTTAGGATTTAGGGTTAAGATCTCTACAGAGGCGGATACAGGCGTGTGTATATATATATTAGGGCTTAGGAATGGCACAGAACATGAAAGCTCGAAAATTGTTTTGTCCAGGGCTTCCGAATTAGAATATATTGGGTCCCTTTTAGGGGGATATAGCGATGATGAGGTATAGTATGTAGGGTCTAGGAGCGGAACTGGAAACTGCTATATTGCAGGGTTTCTAGGTGCCCCAAGTACTTAGAAATCGTGGAGAATCAAGACATACAAGCTAGGTGGGTTTAGGGCTTTCGCTGAACTACCAAGTTCAAGCTGGGTAGGTTTCGTGTATTAGGAATATCATAGGGTTTAGGGTTTAGGGTTTAGGGTTTAGGGTAGGGTTTAGGAGAACCAAGAAATTCAAGCTAGGTGGGTTTAGGGTTTAAGGCAGAGGGACTGCAACTCAGGGGCCTACATGATCAGAAAAAGTGCTTTGGGTATATAGTCCCCTTGAAGTAGATAGAATATGGGGTATAAGGGGATCTTATTATACTATATCCAAAGCCATATTCTATCTACTTAAGGGGACTATGTTATCATCATACTCTAGTTCTATCAGGATTATACGCGAATTATATCAGGAATTGTTCGGGCTTCTACCCTAAACCCTGATCCCCAGCAGGTGCATTACGGCTACAAAAACAACATCCAACCGCATACCTATGATTTAGGGTTTAAGGTTAGAGCTTAAGGTTTAGGGTTCTACTGGTATAAAGGAGAACCCACTGAAAAGAACATGGAAATGACTTGGAAACTTGGCTGATGACAGTGATTTTGCAGATAAATTACCGACATTATCAGGGCCTATACAGGGGTTTACTTTAGGGTTCAGGTCTCCACCTCCGCCACCTCCACCGAAACTGCCAGCGCGTACCGCTATGGTAATGATGCTGACTGAATGACACCGATTTGGAGGCTTCCCAACAATAGGAATATCTTTTGGGGGGTCCTTGTGATGAAGATTGTAGTATGTGGGAGTCTAGATGGGGCCCCCGATATATATACATATGCAAACTGCCATTTGGGGTTTAGGGTTTAGGGTATGCACGAGCATTTCACCCTCCTAAGCCGTCTAAACCTCAACGTAACCTGCCGACAGCTCCGATCGAATCCCTGCAGACCTTGTTCCTCTGCCTCTCATGCAACTACTGATAAGGCTCCAAAACGCACAAGCTGCAACTGACTTTCGGTATCTGCTGAGGTACAGTAGGCCCTCAAGGAAGCCTAAACCTTAAAGCCGGACCATCCAAATCCCAAATCCTGACCCCTAAACCCCTGGCCAAAAGCTGGTCATGCTAAACGCAAACGCTACAAACCTGAAGTCCCAAACCCCTATGAGTCTCCAAGCCCTAAGGCCCCCAAAACGCCAAACCCCTAAACTTCTAAGTACCCTAAGCGCCCAAGCCCTAAATCCTGTTTTGCATACCCGCTCCTCGCCACAGTAGGCGAAGAAGACACTGTAGCCCTGGTAGTGGTCCCTCAATCGCGGCTTAGGGTTTAGGGTCTGAGTTTTCGGGGTTTGTGGTGATATTTAAGGAAATAATCATGTATAAAGAGAAAGGTGTATACATATATATATGTATATGAGCTACAATCTAAACTCCTAGTATCCCCTTAAGAGGTTCCATAATACTCCCCTATGTAATCCCTTATAAACCCCCCTTAAGGAGTTCAGACTATAGCTCATATAATCACCCAAAACGCCCTAAACCCCTAATCCCTAAACCCTAATCCCTAATCCCTAAACCCTAAACTCTACAGGGAATTAGGAGTCTAGGGGCGTGGAGTCAAGGTTTGAGGCTTGGGCAAGGGACTTGCTTACTGGTGGTTGGTAGGGAATTCAGCAGTATAATCTCTATATGAATTAGAATCTCAACTCCTAGAATATTGGGTTTAGGGTTTAGGGTCTAAACTCCGAGTATCCCTCATAATAACAACTATACTACTCCCCCAGAAATAATCCCCTACATAACCCCCTTGAAAGAGTTTAGACTCTGGCTCCTATACTATATTCCCGTATTTCCTACTCTTCACTAGCAAGGTTGGGCTTAGATGCTTTCAAGTCTAGGCTGCAGGCTTTTGGGTCTGAGGGCTTCGCGTTGATAATATTTGGCTCCCTTAAGGTTTATGTTTTAGGGTTTAGGGTTGTTGGTAACCCAGAGTACCAGGTGTCGTATGATACGGCATACCTCAAAAGGCTCGCGCCCTGAAAACTATAGGTGAACAGCCCGCGCGTTCTACATTGTAGGTTTTCCAGGGTCCCTACAATCAAGATTGTCTGTTTCGAGAACATGTTGACAGACCCTAGTTTTCGAGAAATCGCGACCTTTCCCTCCGGGTGTTCGAGTGTTCGGCACGAAGCGAATTGATAGTTTCCATAAGTTGGGAGACCCCCATGTAGACCCCAAAATGTGATGGTCCTTATAATGTTGGATCCTGATTAGTGTGGCCCCCCCTGGCCCCCAGAATGAAATTTGGTCCCTATTTAGCAAAATGAGAGTGGGCAACCCCAAACAAATTTGGATTCTGGTCTTGATACAATTCAATAGGAAGGATCAGCTCAGGTAAAGGCTCGGAATTGTTTCAGAAGGGATCTAGATCTGTCCGGAAGGGATTTGGAAGGATTTAGGGTTCAGGGTTCAGTGGCTTTTGGACGACCCCCTTGCACGAATTATTACCTGTTAGATATATCAACACTCCCAAAATGCTCATTATTCAGGACCTGGGTGGTTGTTGGACCACCTACCCCTTTGCAAAAATGATTGCCTGGTCTCCAACAATAAGGAGTTGAACCAGACATTGACAGTTTTGGGCCTGACCCGCAAGCTGAAACCTGAAATCTTGAGGCTTGATGTCTTGGAGGCTTCGTATGACTCCATAGTTTCCACAAAAGCAGGTCGGATTAGGACCTTAATTTGTGGTTGACAGGTTAACAAAACCTTACCCACTCCTTTCAAAGCAAATCAGGGTTTAGCTTGCGTTCCTAACCATTACAACTCCCAAAAAGTATGTAGAGCCACGCAACTACGTGCAAAACGGCACCCCCAAACGATCGAAGGGTGCTGAACAATTTCGCCCAAACTTCCCACAATTCAGAACCCCCATACTACTCTGGACTCGACATTCTGGGACCTAAACATGGACCCCCAATTTTGGAAAACCCAAAGTTCAAGCGTGTCCATAACACGGCTGCAAACATGTAAAGATGCAGCTGAGTTGGACCGGGTTCCAACATTTGAGAATCTATTTCCCATCCAGGGTTACAACCTTTTGGGACAACAAGACAGATCAAAAAAACCCAAACCCCAAACCAAAAAACCCTAAACCCCTAAACCCCATGACTTCCCCTGGTACCCCGGCTATCGTACCATCCCTGGGTCCCCCTTGCCGAGCTCCTGACAAGCCGGAAGGAATCACGATGGGCTTCTCCAAGACTTTGCACTTGTTGGTGTCCTTGACTTACTGGTGTTTTGGGTTTAGGGTTTAGGGTACTGGGGTTTAGCAGGGAATAAAGGATTAGAATTCCTATCCACTCCCCATTCAATATATTCCTTTATTCCCTACTAACCCCAAGTAGATTGAGAGTTTCTGGGATTGTGCCGAGTCGCTTTGGTGGTTGGTTCTGCAATGGCTACCCTAAACCCTGAACCCTGAATCTCTGACCCTTAAACCCTTACACTCCTAAACCCTGAACCCCGAGATCAAGACATCTGTGGGCCCCGCATGCATCCAGAAGCCAACTCCCAGATCAGGGTCGCCCTGCCAGGAGGAACTAGCTGGGTTTTAGGGCTTAGGGCTTAGGTGTTCTTATACGAAGACTACGACATCCAATGTGTGATGCATACCCCGCTTCATCGCACGACTATCACAATGGTTCCTACCACATCTGCTCATTCAGTTACTTTTTCATGACTTGCGTCAAAGTGTGATGCTGCTTGATAACTTTCATGATCATCACTTGCATCGCGGCTATGCTCATTTTCATTTTACTATTCATGTTGAGCGTTGTGCTGGCTGTCGTAGCAACCGAAATACTAATTTCAGCGCTATGACGGCCGCTGCAAGCGCTGCTTCGGCTGGTGTTGGTACGGAATGGTGAGAATCATGGTACCTATAGAAATCACAGGAGAAGGAAATGGAGCAGGCGGAGCACGAGGAGCAACATGAGGAGCAGGATCAAAAGGCAGAAGAGGAAGATCTTCTGCAGGTCTTTTCATGAGGGCGAAATTACATTCCGACCTTCGGTGTAGGCAAGATCCTTACTAATATAGTCCCCCTTAAGTAGATAGAATATGGGGTATATGGGAATCTTATTATAATATACCCCAAAACCATATTCTATCTACTTAAGGGGGACTATAGCTCTCCGGGCTTCGGAGCTGGTCCTTCATGGAGAGACTTAAAGCTACCTTACTTTTGACATTCCTTTTTCAGTCCTTTGAAAATGATACACAATATGAAACTATTGCAAACACACATAAATTTTGAAATTTGAATAAAAATGAAAATTTAACTATATGCAGCAATGATCAAAGTAGGGTTTCAGGTTGAGGGCTTAGGAGCTCGCCATCTACTGGGTTGCTGTGAAGGAGCTTAAACTAAGTTACTAGGATAAGGACCCCAACATACTAGAGTCCTTATCATAGAAACTATCGAATAAAAAAGAACCCTATTTTTGGAAAGCCCCAGGTTTCCAAAAAAGCGTAGCCGCATCTTTTCAACCCCAAACTATGCAGCCCTCACTGCACGGGCAAAAGCACCAAACGGCTGTGAGACGCGCCCCTCGAAGCCACTTGAGGAGCGCGTTCCAGGTGGATGAAGCAAGTAACATTAATTAGATTGTTCCTGCAAGGTACCAAATGAACTAAAGAAAGGTATCTTACTCTATTATCTGGATCACAAGGAACCCAGGGTGGGGTAGTAAAGAGGGGGTAGTACAGGAAGCCATGAACTCCTGAACTAAGGCCTTGTAACCATACGTCAAGGGCGGCCGCAGCTTCGTTCTCCGCATCACGGCCTGGCTGCAGTTCCCTTTCGAGATTCCCTAGCCTAATGTAGGTTTTATAGGGGTTTAGGGTTTAGGGCCTAATGTAGGGACCTAAATAATTACCAATATTATGGCTCTGCATTCCTTGTGTGAATATGGACAGAAGTACGTGAAATAGACATCAGGTTTCTATAACATGTCTTAACTCCGTGGTCCATGGTGGCTAGACACGAAGGATCCCTCCGTATCCGGAAGGTTGGGAAGAGCTCGGGGGAATGTGGCTGCCACCTACAAGCTTTTGCAAATGGAAGTTGCTGAAAATTCACATTTCCAAAACGGTCATGAGGTAGGTTCCCAGTTTGATTAAGATCCCCCTTAGGGAAGTGGATTCCCACAGACCTTTTCTTTACGCGGACCTTCACATGTCCACCATGTCATCTTTTCGGAGAAGCTAAGCATTCGAGAAGGTTTGACCTTGCTGAGGAAATGTCCTACAGCAAGATTGCTAGAGAGTTACGTTCCGAGAGTACCAGTATTGATAGTAGTGGTAATAATAAAAGTAAGAATAGTTGTTGTAATAGTAATATAACAAGAATAGTAATAATAGTACTGGCTGTAGTAGTAGCCGTAATAGTAGGAGGATGAGGAGGAGGAGGAGGGCGGAAGGCGGGCTGCATGGCGTGGGGATATATAGGGTTCAGGGAAACCAGTTGGTTGACCATACAGAGAGCTGAAATTAGGGTTTGGGCTTTGGGTTTAGGATTAGGGAATTTCATGCGGGTTCACAGGTTGCGGGGCTCGGTACGTCATAATCTCTTCATACTAGTACTTAACACCCCTCAGCCCCAATACTAGATAAGAGCTCAGCAGCCTATCGTTGCATTGCTGATCCCCTCCCCCTAGTACCTAGTATTAATTAACCACCCCCCCCCCCCCACCTCTCAATGTTGCACCTCTCAATATTGCATGATTATTCCCATGGTGGTATACGATCATAGGCTGGGAACATTTAATGTTAGGGTCTTGGAGGTTAAAAAATTAGAGGAGGTGGATTTTGTTGGGGAGGGTGTTCAAAGGGATATACGGTGGCGGAATGGTGTGCTCTTCAAGGATTCCACAAAACGGAAACTTTGCGCTCACACCAACCCCTAAAAAATGGACCGAAAATTTTGTATCCTCAATCATAGACCCTGGTTTAGGGAAGCCCCTAACCCTACACCCGGAACCCCAAACCCTGAAACCTGAAACCTGACCTCTAAACCATAAACCCTGAACTCCCAACTCTAAACCCTAAACCCTAAACCCTAAACTCTAAACCCTAAACCCTCAACTCTAAACCCTTAACCCTGAACCCGGAACCCTAAACCCTAAACCCGGAACCCTAAACCCTAATTCTAAGCTCTAAACCCTTAAACCCGTAACCCCGAACCCTAAACCCTAAACTCTTGGCCTGCATGTAGTCCGCCAGCTTGACTGCATCTTCCGCTCCTTCAGCCATTTTACCTGCTCTACGAAGTTTAAAGTTTAGGGATTTGGGATTAAGTAAATAGAAAATAGGGTATATGGGGATCTTATTATGGGTTTAGGGTTTAGGGGTTTAGGGTGTAGGGATGAGGGCGTTAAGGTCTTAGGGCCTGGGTTTAGGGATGAGGTTTGGGAATTAGGGTTTAGGGCTCAGGGATTAGGATTTAGCGTTTAGCCTTTAGGGTTTAGGTTGGAGCTATGGCCCCCTAGTATGAGCCCATTACCCTGGATGCTTTGTTTTTTTCTATTGTATAAACTCTATACCATATCAAACATGTTTTGGGTTTAGGGCTTAGGCCTGGGCTTTAGGGGAGCCAACGTAGGCACCCTAAACCCTAAATCCTAAACCCTAAACCCTAAATCCTAAACCCTAAACCCTAAACCCTAAACCAATATAGGCACCGCTATAGGCATTTGCCGCGGATCCTGTAGGGATAGTTCCAGGGATCTGCTCCTTCACGGACCTACGAAACACCGGTAAGCGTAGGGTTAAGGTTTTAGGGTTTAGGGGTTTAGAGGTTCATGCTGGTTTAGCAGATGGAATTGCACCTGAACCTTAAACGTTAAGGGTTTAGGGTTCGCAGCTCAGGGCTTTTTGACTCGAAAGCCCAATTGAAGAGCCCACAGAACTTGAATTCTGGTAAGGTGCTACAAAAGCAGCTCCTATGTGATCTATGTTGGTGGACATGAAACCATGAAATACGACCCCCTTCAGCTGCAAAAACTGCATCTGATTCCATGACGTTGTCCATTTGGTTTTCGAGTTGCTTCTCCAATGTTCGTCCCAGATGTAGTAAAAACTAACCCTGAACCATAAACCCTAAACAGATTAGACTAAGGCCGGTCCGAGTCCGCAAGAAGAGCAACATTCGCCGCCTGCTTTATTACGGTTTAGGGTTCATGGACTCTGCATGGACCGGTTCGAAAAACGTCCGCTTTGCGCATTATACTTGAGCCCTTAGCTCATAACTTGCGATCGAGTTGCTGCTGAACCACATATTTTCTGAATCAAATGGCACACCACCGTCCAAAGCTCCAATCCCATCCCAGCAGGCTGACAAACCTTAAGCAAAGCACCCTGATGTAGACCCATGATTGCTAAACCCCCTTTAGGGCTTACGGTTTTGGTCTTACACATGCATATCCGAAGAACGTCTCCTCCTACGCCCTGAACCCCACCCCCTGAACCCTAAAAAAAAGACCCTAAGCCCTCCTAAACTCTGTGCCTCAGAGAAAGTTCAGGCCAGTTTGGGGTAACTGCACTACTTTGCAGAGCCGCAAGGGGCGTGGTAGCTCGGAGTATCAGACCGCAAGTAGTGCAGGCTGTTTCCTGGGGAATGGAAAAGGAATGGAAGCTGCAATTTGTATCACCACATGGAAAGGAAAATGGAAGCTACTATCTTAGCGCTTGAAGATTTAGGCTTTAGGGTTTAGATTGGTCAGTAAGAACCGGGGGGAATGGTTTCTGAGAACTGCTTTAAGGGGAAAAATGTAAATTCGCGCGTATATCCAGACTACTTCAAGGATCCACTTGTTGGGCTCCAGGATCCTTTCACTGACTCCTAACATGCTACACCTCGAAGTTTGGCAAGCAGGCTTCATAGTCATGGCTCACGATCCAGGATTTGTTGGTTTGAGCTGTGTAGCGCCCACTCTTCAACTGGCACCCAACTGCTCCACCCCTTCAAACAAGCCACCAATTGGAAACAACTTGAGGTGTCCTTGGGGGTCCTTGGAGGGCCCTTTTAAAGGAGATATAGGGTATGTAGGTTGTTCTCAAAATTCTTGGAAGCGTTTGGGTTAAAACCCAACCAAAGAGCGCCCGGATGTAGGGTTTAAGGTTTAGGGTTTAAAATTCAAAGGTTATATGGGTAGTTTTCAAAATTATCGCACCCTTTAGGGTTGGGGACCCCGATATAGACCCCAAAATACTACAATCCGACTGAGGCTTCCTCATAGTTTTCCTATGTGTTCGTCCGTTTAGGGTTTAGGGTTT